GTTCGAACAGAGCCATTGTTTGCCAATGTTGACTTTACCACTTTGAAAAAAATGTCTCCTACGAAGCAGGTCCAGGGATAATCCGCATTTTTACGTGCAAAAACAATGATCAGCCGTTCAGAATTGAAAAATCAAAACTTAATTGTTTTATATCATCCAAGAACTAGCGCACGATCATATTTTTTCGAAACAAATGAGGTGGGCGACCTCCTTGTGAACAAAACCAGGAAAAATAGTAGGCTTACACGAAAGGCGAAAACTTAAATCAAATTCAATGCAAATCAATGAGTACTTAAGAGAAAGCGCTGCCTAAATGAGACTCAAGTATTTAAAATTGCGCAGTAGGTTTCCAATCTAATTTAACAGTTGAATCTTATTGAATTAGTTTTTTTTTCAGACAGCTGTAGCCAAAAACAATATTTTCTCAGTTATCAAACGCTTTTTTCTGCAAGTACTTATTAGTCTGTAACTTCGTTGTACCATATCTTTAGCACCTTGCAGCGGATACTGTAATGGTTCGAACTATTCTTTTAGTTTATTTTACTGTTTGAGCCGAGCATCATGTGTTATTCGGGGTTTCTATCTTCTTTGGCAAAAATCTCAAGCTAAAATAACTTAACAAAGGCAAACTTTGAAGTCGCGAAAATTTGGCATTTTTTCCAAATCAACAGGCATCGAGCTCATATGCATTTTCTTCACCATCACTTTTCATCAAAAACGAAATCTGCACATCACTCTGCTAAAATCTAGCACCACTTTCCCTTTCTACCTCACCGGTATTCAGAAACTTTCCAAGCACCGCCTCTAGGTCAAAGGCGAGCTGCAGCAACGAGAAAATATGGATCTTTTCTCAGCATGGATCCTAGTCAGCGGGCCGTATTGGCTTCGCCTGGACTAAGCTCACGTTTCAAGAAACGCATGGGATCGTGGATTGCCGGCATGAAAGGTTTTCCTTCCGCATGTCTGAATTGGTCAATTCTTGCATGGCTTTGCCGTTAACCTATTGCACTGCATGTTGTACCTGCCCGCTGTTGGATATCATGAGTGCTATCAATAACATGGAATGTCTGCTGGAGAAGAATTCTAAACAGTTTAGTTACTAATCCTAACATACATCAGTTTTCCCACATGCATCACCTTCATTCAAATTCCATTTACAGAGATGAATGTTGCTTTTGTTTTGAAATCTGGGTCGGCAACTGGTTTTTGTCACAAATTTTTGTCTTGATATGATTTAGTCTTGTACAACTTAGAAAGTCCAGCTGTTTCTACTTCCTATGACGAT